ACACCCTGGATATATCCGTGAATACATCGTACGTTTTAACTAATGCATATTTTAATATTCAGTATATTAAGAATTTAGAAATTAACAACAATAACAAGCAATGACAAGATAAATAACCAAATAGAAAATAGTGTCCATTTAATAATCATTTAAGTTAATAACTGCAATATTAGAAATAGATAAGTAATTATACTACAATACTATAGATAGATAAGTAAATATATACTTAAAATTCCAATCCACTTGTTGGGAAGAACAAATGGAAAACTTATTATCTTTAATAACTATTGTAATAACCTTCAAATGCTAAATTTAAATTAGATAAATAAATGACAATAGAAAGTGTGCAGTCGTGAGATGAAAATTATCCGGAGACCACTCGGGAGTTGCGTTACTGAACTCCCGTTCTACCAGAATGTTTTAAATAAAACTAGTAGCGAAATTGGGTTGATGTGTTTAATGAGAAGGTTTCTTACATACTAACTAACAATATTAAATTTACTTAAAAACTAGAGAACGACTAAGAAAGGGGGTGGAGTCTAAATGAAAGATCAAAGAGCCCGGGTTCGATTCCCGGCGGGTGTGTGACAACAGCAACAATTTTTCCTCATTAATTTGAGGTAATGTGTAGTGGGTAAAAATTGAGAATATTTCATATTAAAACAAACTCACTTCGGGAAGATTTCTACATTGTATAAATATTTAGATATTTATAATGTGCATTATGGAGTTGGCCTTTAGTTGACGAAAACACTTAATAATATTCCGTAAATAAAATTCAAAATTGGTAATTATCACAATCTCTATGTTGTGAAAAGTTACAATTTTGAGTTTTATTTATATTACTATTTCTATGAATATGCCGTGGCTGTATAAAATTTTTATTTACTGTTGACATCGGGTTACAATATTGAAAAACAATGGGAAAACTATATCTTGGAGGACCTAATTGATAATGTTATTTTACTTCAATCTAGGGTGGTATATATGTAAATGAAATTGTTCTTCAAATTTACATTCTATTAATTTTTATTCGTATATTTTTAATACTTTAATGTCTATGGACAATCATGTGAATGGCAACTTTATGACCTGTAGAATAATATTGAAATTTATAGAATTCGCATTTGGACCATCACACTGAATATGCCACTGAAAGAATTCGACAAAATTTTACTAAAATATAACCAAATAATATTTTTTCTCTTTTAAATAATTTACATATATGAGCATATATATTTGATGAAATTCTTGGTACAATTTTTGTAATCGAAGTATGTGAAAACTACCTGCTTAGTTTTGAAAGTTATGAATTGAACATTAATTAATCTAATGCTGGTTACAATACCTGCTACAACACCCAAACGTACCTGGAACAATAAGAAAAATATAAATTAGGTTTAACTGTTAACGCTAAACATATTCGAATGTTTTTTTCTATTTTGTAATTACAAAATATTTTTTTAAGGGTTTGAATCAGACGAAAGCAACCAAAACAATGGAACACATTTGGCAAAACGAACAAAAATTGTAAGTATTTTACATGAATGAATGAATTTTACGAATCTCATTAGAGTGTAAATATAAAGATATCTCATAATATACATTTAAAAACAAAATAAATTTTAAAAGAAGAATATTAAGTTCGTGTCCTTCTCCAATGTTAATTTAGAATTGTTTCAATGTAAAACGACCAGAGTGGTGAAATTTTATTTATCTAATCTTAAACTGACGTTTCGCCTTTTTGGTCAAAGGCTTTATCAAGATAGATTACTAAGTTATCGAATTAATTAGATGGAGACGTGGAGAAACCTTTTGTACAATCACCCGAATATTTAACAATAATAATAAAAACATACTCAAAATCACAGTCTAAAATTATAAATTAACACGCCGTTTAAAGCTAAAATAATAAATATTAATAAATCTGTCATCAAATACTTTTATTTGAAGGGGTTAACGCCGAAGGAAATTAAAAAAGAGATGGACTCAACACTGGGGACATCCTCCCCGTCATATTCAACCGTTAAGCAGTGGGTTTCCGAGTTTAAAAAGGGTCGTGTGAGCACCTCTGATGGGCCTCGCTCAGGACGCCCCGTTGAGGTCACAACTCCAGATATGATCGAAAAAATTCATCAAATAGTGCTGGGAGACCGCAGATTGAAAGTGCGTGAGATAGCTGAGACCTGTAAGATGTCATATGAACGTGTGCAACATATTTTGCAC